GGGCCCTCGTGCGACGACCTCATTTAACCTCGACGCGCACCCGATTCCACAGCGTCATTGATCGAACCATACTCCCCGCAACAGTACCCTGATATGGACCCCAATCCTTGACAGCTTGGAATCTCAACCGATCGACCTCGAGCACGTCGCCTGCTCGCCGGTCTCCAAGCGCACTCTTACTTTTCTTCCTTAATTAATCCTCAGATCACCGAATCGAGACACGATGCGGTTACCATTATGGCGGCACCATGCCGCGCCACGGCGAACAACAACAACAACTTCTACCTTTTTATTTCTCGCCTTATCGTCCTTGTCGAGCGCCATCACATTTACACCAGCCCCCGCCGCCAACCTCGATTTCTCAAAACTCGGCCGAGTAGCTCTGGCCGGTGACTTCTCCGGAATTTCGCTCTACGAATTCGAGGGACAAAATGAGCGACCATACAACACCAATGGCAGCGAACAGCTCCTTGCGAGGATGCCCAACGGCGCCTTTGCCCCAGTCGCCAACACCGATGCGACGATCCGAACAATGTGCACCTTCCAAGTCGACGGGCGGACAGTTGTGATGGTTGGTGGAAATTTCACGAGCATTGGAGCGATTGACGCCGAGGTTCAGCAGTCGTCTGGCATGGCGCTTTTTAACCCAGCAACCGCCGAAATCACGCCCCTGCCAGGACTCCTCGGTCAGGTCAACGCAGTGCTGTGCGATCAGGAGGCAAACATCGTGTATGTCGGTGGAAGCTTTGTGGGTGTGAACTCGACCAATGCGATTGCTTGGCAAGGAGAATCACAAACCTGGACGAATCTTCCATTTGCGGGGTTTAATGGACCAGTAGCGTCGATAAGCAAGGCGTCCAACGGGAACATCATCTTCGGCGGCAGTTTCACGGGTCTGGGGAATGCGAGTGCTCCGAGCACACCAGATGGCCAGGTCATCAATCTGTCGACAGCGAGCATTAGCAGTGGTTCTTCGACTTCCACACAGGGTTTCAGCGACCCGAAGAATATTATTTGCAAGACTGGCGGAGCTGACGGCGCAGGAAACACCTGGTTGCTCCAGGACAGCACCCCGGGTTTTTGGTCGGCCAAGTTCAAATTTGGATTCCAGCCCACCAAACTACGGCTCTACAACACTCGGCAGGATGGCAGGGGAACACAGACATGGCGGTTCACAGCTCTGCCCATTAATGGGATTATGAACTTCACTTATATCGATCCGGCCACCCAGCGAAATGCGAGCTGCACGAGCGAATGCCCACTCAGCAACGACCCGGATGTCAAGTTTCAGGATTTCCACTTTGTCAACGTCATTGGCATGAACGAGTTCCGCATCGACATTTCGAGGTTCTACGGTAGTGGTGGCGGTTTGAATGGGATTGAACTGTTTGCCGACGACATCTACTCCTACGCCATCAACGATTTCAACGAACCATCATGTGCAGGCGGCGAATTTCCATCTGGCGCGACTACCACGGGACCCTGGGTAGTTACGCCTTCTCAGTCAAGCACCTCCGAATATCTTACTGCCCGCCTTACCAGACCTATTACTAATACTTCGGCGTCTGTGGTGTTCACTCCGGACATTCGGGAATCCGGCCACTACTCGCTGAATCTTTACACTCCTGGGTGTCTTCAGGACAACACATGCTCGACTCGTGGCCGTGTCAAGCTTACTGGACAGATGACAGCCGATCGCACCAAGAGCGAGCCAATCGACCTGGATCTCTACCAGACCAACAACTATGACAAGTACGACCAGATTTACTTTGGCGCCGTCGATGCCAGCTCAGGCAGCTTCCGCCCCCGTGTCACCATGACCCCTCTTGCCGGGCAATCTCTGGACGAGATGACATTTGTCGCTCAGCGCATTGGCTTCACCTTGATTAACAGCACAGGTGGTCTGAATGGGCTGTACGAGTATACGCCTGGCAGAGCAGTCAATGCGAGTGATTTTATGAGCTCTGCTTTCAATCGCTTGGGTGCTAGTTTCAGGACCGGTTCTGTCGTAAACGCTCTTGCGACGTCGGGTGACACCACCTACATTGCGGGCAACTTTAGCGCCGGCAATGTTCGAAACATTGTTGCGCTGCAGGGCAACGACGCCACCCCCAAACAGCTCGGAGGCACTCTGAACGGTGAGGTCGAGTCGTTGTTTCTGAACGGGACCAACCTCTTTGTGGGGGGCAGTTTTAACGGCACTGTCAGTGGCTCATCAACTGGACTCAGCAATGTTGCGGTTTATGATACTTTAAGCCGCACTTGGCGTCCCCTGGGCGCTGGTGTCAATGGGGCTGTCCAGCAAGTAGTCGGCATGACTATGAATATCACCAGCTCCACACCTGAGATTGTGGTTGCCGTCAATGGAGACTTTGATCAGCTCCGAGCTTTTGGCAACAACCCGGCTACTGAGGTGGAGGGTTTTGGTATTTGGGTTCCCTCGCAAGGGAATTGGCTGCAGAACTTGGACCTTCCGGTTGAGTTGATTGAGGGGTTGTTGTCAGCCTCGATGCTGAACGTGGACGGCGAGACTTCCCTCTATGCCGGCTCTCTCGTGTCGAGGGCTCTTGGTGCCTCGGGTGCCGCGGTCCTGGGCGAGGATCTCAACCGCTTCCCCGTCAAGATCCGCGCTACTCCAACTTCCTCCAGCACCAGTGCTCTATCCAAGCGAGATGATGCCCTGGCTGACAAGAGTCTGTCAGGTATCGTGACCGGCGTGTTCGATTCCAGCAACAGCAGAAACCTCACCATTCTGGGCGGTCACTTTACTGCTACCAACAGTGACGGTTCCGAAATCCACAACCTCGCCATTATCGATGGCTCCGATGGTGACAAGGTCGTTGGCTTCGGTCAAGAGATCGCCAAGAACTCGACATTTGTCGCTTTGGCGGTGCACGGAGATGTTTTGTTTGCTGGCGGCAAAGTGACGGGCAATGTGAACGGCGTCAACGTCAATGGGCTTGTCACCTATAATCTTGCCAGCAAGTCCTTCAACACCCAACCCCAAGCCTTATCCGGCGACAATGGCACCGTTTCAGCCATTGCTGTGCGTGGCACCACTGGCGATGTGTACGTTGGAGGGTCCTTCAGATCGGCCGGCTCTCTAGGTTGCAATGGTGTTTGCTTCTATAGCACCGCCTCGTCTCAGTGGATTCAACCTGGGCAGAACATGGTCGGTGCCGTCCACTCGCTAATGTGGATCTCCGACAATGTCTTGCTCGCTGGCGGCAACCTCACAGTCAACAACACCGTCTCGACCTTCCTTGCCAGCTATAACACCGAAACTCAGACCTGGGACAACTATCCCGGCGCCAGCGACCTTCCCGGCCCAGTCTCGGCCCTTACCAAGGGTAACAATGAGGGTACTCATATCTGGGCTACCGGCACCAATACAAATGGCACAGTCTTCCTTGCCAAGTCGGATGGCACTACTTGGCGCTTCGCTGGCGAGTCTCTTGAGACTGGCACAGATATCCGTGGCCTTCAGATCTTCTCTCTCACCTCCTCTCACGACAACACCGACCTGATCGACTCCAGCGAGGCTCTGATGCTTACCGGGTCCATCGTCCTTCCAGGGTTCGGCACGGCATCCGCGGTCCTTTTCGACGGCCAAGAGTTCAGGCCGTATGCCCTCACCAGCAACCGCGGCAACACCGCCGGCACCATTTCCCGCGTCTTCACCGAGCACAGCAACTTCTTCGACAAGGGCGGTTCACCCCTGCCGCTTGTCTTTGTCGTGCTTATCGGCTTGGGCATTTCTCTGGCGCTGATGCTGCTGATTGTGGTGGCTGGTCTGCTCCTCGACAGGCTACGCAAGAAGCGCGAGGGGTATGTTCCTGCTCCAACGTCCATGTATGACCGTGGAAGCGGTATTCAAAGGATACCGCCTCGTGAATTGCTGGAGAATTTGAGCAAGGGCCGACCGGGGGCACCACAGGTGTAGAGAGGGTTTCAACAGAGAGCAAGAGTTTGATGGCGTGCATATCTGGGTCTGGGTTTGACTGGCGTTACAGTGTTTACAAAAAAGGGGTCTGCAATGCAAAGGGTCTGATACCACTGATTTCTTTTTATTTCCTTTTTGTTTTAAAGACGGGGTGCAGCATTTGGCGTTTGGAATTGTACTACCGATGAGCATTACATCATACCACTGCCGTTCTATGATATGAGGTACACCATCACGGGGCGGGTCAGGAGAAGAGGGATAATGGTAGGAGAGGAAGAAGTGGCTTTATTTCGTTTCTTACCCATCATTTGGCGTTATGCCCAGATTCTTTTTCACTTTCGATTCTCAACATTTAACGGTACTTTACTTTCTTCTCTTGACAGCAAATTGTCTTGACGATAGTTGTTTGTCAATGGGGAGGGGGATGAAGGCGAACAACGGTTTTTTTTTTCGATTCTTTAATGTTTAACCTTGTAACTATACTACCTACATACCCAACCCTCTCTGTACCATTCTACCGACGCCGGCAAAAAAGGAGCAAGATGAAAAGGGATACGGGAAACTGGGAAGGAGATGGGAAGGACGGGACAATATTTTAGGGGCAGAAATGGGGGACGAACTTATGTGTTATTATATTCTTTTGGGGCTTTGTAGATAACTTTTTGAGTGGGACGTGGTCAAAGGGGTAGGCTCTGGGAGAGAGCGAGTAGGGGTAGGAAGAAGAGAATAGAGGATGGTGTATCTTACCTCTTTTGCTGTCTTTGGTTGGTAATGCTTGTGGTCTTGATGGATGCACTTTAACACGCAATCAACTATATGGACTACGATGTCAAGCTTATTACAACTACCTCGGTGCCACCTAGACGTGAATAGATGCTGGACAAGTTGGTTTGTCTTTCCATGTTGAACTGCTTGTTCTTTGCGCGTGTTGGGAGTTGGGGACCATGTCACACAAGAAGGGGGGGTATCCGCTTGGTGGCGGAGTGATGACAGGGCGACCGAGTCATGAAGGCAAAATCGCTCATGTAAACTCCACATCAACCAAACACACAGAAAAGCCCGATTAGCTCAGCTGGTTAGAGCGTCGTACTAATATTGAGTTTCGTCACAAGAGTCAATATCGAGTCCATGCGAAGGTCAACAGTTCAATCCTGTTATTGGGCAGCTCAATGTATGTCTTTTGTCGGTTGGGGTGTTTTCTCTAGGAAGATTTTATTTGGTTGGCTCAGTTGAAAGGTATCTTTTGGATGAATTCATCCCTTTTTTATCCTGTGTCAAGGCTTGAAATATTACTTGTTGCGTTGAATACCTAGGTAAGTAGGTGAGAAACTTTGAGGGGAAGGGGAGGAAATGGGTTGCTGGTTGGGTATGATAAGTTAGTGGCACAGAATATTTTCTCGGAGTTCTTTTAGTGAGCTGGGTGACATTGTGTTGGTCTTTGGGAGGGTGACAGTTGTGAGAGAGTGGGACGGGAAGTCTAACGGGTCAACAAAGACAACTCCTTTTGCAGAGATTTTAAACCGTTCTAGATGGGCTTTGGAGATATAATTGTGTAATAGGTGATTTGATGGCGTTGATGTGTTGCTATTGGGTCAGGTTAGAGTTTGCTCGGGGTTGCTATTGCCTGTTCTAGCACCTTGTTCTTAGAGATGCCTGGGTTTGTTTAGGTTTGTGTGTGGACTGGCGCATGTAGCTTGGTTTTGGGGTTTGCTTGAGGATTTGCGGAAACATGAAAGAGACTCACGATGAAGTGAATGTGTTAATGTGTTAATGTGTTAATGTGTTAATGTGTTAATGTGTTAATGTGTTAATGTGTTAATGTGTTAATGTGTTAATGTGTTAATGTGTTAATGGGGTAAAGGAATACACATTTGAAGCAGCTATCTACCTACTCACAACGAATACCTCTAGAAAAGCTACATTGGAGGCTATATGGTGCATAACGTTCTTTTGAGATGACTTCCTCTAGTTAATATATCCCCCTTCAGTCTACAGACTCTACTGAGACCATGAATCACTCCCGTGCAAAGTCCACAAACGGAACAAGCTTGCCATTCCCATTCCGTCCTCTACCTCCCCTATCCAAAACTGCAACCATACACCGTGGTCCTTATGTACTTAATTCATTTTGAGTATGGTTGCTCTTGGAAAATATCTTGCTAAAGCAAACTGAAGCATACATGTACACGACCGAGCAAACTGTTTCCCCCTTGACCAACGAGCCTTGACGACGCTGTGTCTAGTTTTGAAAAAATGCAAAGAAACCCCCTGGTGTAATCCGATACTTGAGCTGTTGATGCCTCAGATTAGGATTATACTACCCTCAGTATGATAACAAGCACCATACCTATGGAGCAAGAACAGTCGTTCTTGCCTCCTCAAGCTTTACTGAGCACTTGGGCAAGAGCAATCAAGTCAGAAGGCAAGAGCTGCCGTGCAGAGAGCAAGAGTTACCAAGATATGAAGCAAGCACCATGAACACAGAAGGCAGGAGCTACGGAGTTGGATCCAAAGTCTTCAACAGACAACTGGCACCTGGTAGCAAGTACCAAGGATCTCTGCTAACAAGGTTGGGTTCATTATAACAAGTTACCTAGCTTCAAAGGGGTCTGTCTGCCTTAGTTAAGAAGGGGTCAGTCAAGAAAGGGGTCAGTCAAGAAAGGGGTCAGTCAAGAAAGGGGTCAGTCAAGAAAGGGGTCAGTCAAGAAAGGGGTCACAGTCATGAAAGAGTCGATTCATGAGGTCTGTTGAAGTGGCATCCCTTCCGGCCTGTCATATCCATCTTCTTGGGATAGATGTTTATTGAAAGGGGCTGCTAAACAGACGGTTGTCAGAACAGGTCCAGACCACAGGCTGTCAGTGACATGCCTCCTTTGGAGCTGCCAGTTACCAATCAGAGATATCCCCATTTGAACCAAGAGATTGGAGGCAACAATAACCCATTCTTCTATTCTCATCCAGACACAACAGACTGTCTACTCCTATTCAAGCCACCCCAAACTAGCATTTCTGAAGAGAAGCAAGCCAAGACACCCCGTCTCTCAAACAGGCAACTTCAACAACCCAAAGCAGGGCAAGAAACTCCGAACATCTTTCATCTCATCACATAAATCGAGACCGGCAAACATCACGCCATCGCCACTGGCGTCTGTACTCTATGAACCAACCTACCTTTGCCAGCCCTGTGCCCACTCCTAGTGTAGCCTCCACCATCTCACCTTCCTCACCCGTCGACGCCACTGTCATGATATGCCTCACTTGTCTCAGACCAAACCCAGACTAAGCCTTACTGTTTCTCCCACTTCAGTCACTGCCTTGATCCGTTCTGGGTTTTCCCTCCTGCCTTGCTCTCGTCCAACCCACTCGAGTCCCCCACTCCCCAACAGAACCTATAGCGGCATTTCCCGCCTGCCGCTGACGACGACAACAATAACAGCAACAGCCTGAGTAATACCAGCAATGATGATGATGATGTGGATATGATGCCCAGCATCTGACACATTTCCAGGGCTAACACTGGGGCTAAACTAGGTGTTTTTTCCTTGGAAACCCCCTTTCCCGCACCCCTTTACCAAGTGGCGAAAAAAATGTGAGAGAAAAAACGTAAAAAAGGAGGGCGTGAAAAAAAAGGGGGCGTGTGTTAGAAAAGAAAACCCATGGCAAAGGAAAGAATTCCGAAATCACTTTTGCACGCCCCCCTTCCCCCAATGTGAGATCCGAGTCAGGGGATGTGTAGTAGGGGTTCACATTTGGAGACGCTCTGGATTTGTCAAGAACCAACCAAGCAAGTTTTTTTCACATTGGGGTCCAAGACAATAACCGTTATTAGGCCGTTATATTGTCTTTTCGTTTAGTCTCCTCTCCTTCCGTTGGGGGGGGGGAAGGGGGGTGGTGGGTGTGAGATTATGCCGGGGGATGGATTGTGGTATGCAGAGTTGCTGTGTGTGGTGAGAAGTGGTACATACATTGTCACATATCCACGGCTGGCATAAACAGACGACATATCAAGCACAGCAGGAACACAGCCTGAAAAGGGGGCGGGCGGATGGTGGACTGATCTTGGCCGGAAGGGCGAGGGCTGCATATTCCTGCTGCTGTGCGTGGGTAGGGTGTCTACGGAAGGGGGGGGGAAGGACACCGCAGTCACACGGCAGTTGGTGTTATCGCTGGTTGGGGAGAGAGAGAGAAGGGAAGATGCTTCATGTACTGTGACCTGGTGTGCTACTGGCTGGCTCGGAGGGGACGACTGGTCGGCTCACTGGGTGGATGGCTGGGCAAAGAGGACGGTGGCATGTAGGGTCTTGTCGTGAAGGAACCCCGAAAAGAGGCGGGGGAGGGGGATAGCAGCAGGCTGTTTGGCTTGTGCCTGTGCCTGCGGTGCCTGTCTGGCTGGGAGTACCGCCGCTGCTAGTGGGCTATGCCGCCGACGAGAGAGCAGTAAGCTTCCTCCCGATATCACCACCACCACTCAGGTATCATGACAGCGAAATATTGAACGCTTCGCCTCTAGTGTAAGCATACAGTGACAACGAGAGTATACTTGCATGTAGAAAGCGGCACCAAGAGGTGTGACCCGTCCAAAGTCTCAGAGTCGTACGTTTTTCTCGCCCGCTCCCCGTGCCCGAGCGAAGAGGAAGGGAGGAATGGTGAAGTTCGGATGGCATCCCACCTCCTCGCGACCATCCATCACATCCCATCCCATCTCATCCCCGCTGCTGCCGCCGCCGCCGTCGACAGTTCCACAAAGCAGCATGATCCGGTTCACCGCAAGTTGCTCTGCCTACCCGTCCAACGATGAATATTAGTCGGCGATGGACCCCGACGGTGTGGTTGATTGGCCTCCGGACGTGTCCCGGCGGCATCTTCCCTTAACCACCTTCCTCTCTCGTCCTGGCGAGGACGCCGACCAGCTGGGTGATGTGGTGGAGAGATGGACGTCCATGTTGTGCACGCGAGCAGCGGGTTAGGTTGGCTGGCATGTACGCATGGCCATGCTGTATTCTTGCGCGGGACCCGGCGGGCAGGTAGCTGCGCAAGACGACAACGTAACACTCCTCCACAGCCGGGCTCGAATGAATGGCTGGCTGGCATGCTGGCAATGCAAAGACCCCGGGTGGATAATGATGTGCAAGATCATTGACGAAATCTTTTGGAGCCACCATCCACGAGGTCACCCGACAGTTGGAATGCTGTCGTCGGGCGGTCTACACTTGGACCCAAAAAGGCGAAAATGCGAATACAGTTATGATTGTCACGGTTTATTGTGCTATTGTCCCACTTGGTCAGCTTTGCCTTGCCTTTGGACGCCGTTCGGTACTAACGCCTTACCTTGCTGTCGACTACACTACTCATTGCCAATGTCAACAAGCTCTCGGTATCCAAACGGGAGAAGCCGTTGTAAACATTCACGACCTCCCATGCGGCTCTCAAAAGGTCTCGGTAATTTGTGGCTCTTGCCAAGCGGCCGGTGATGCCCATCATTGCTGCCATCTTCCGAACATCTGGGGTTGGAAAAGGATGGCCGGGCGGTCGTGCTGTGAGGCGTCGTTGATCACTTGCCAGAATGAGTGAGATGCCCCTGTCCACCCACTTGGACGACTGCCGCCCGCGACCGCCGCTTGTCGATACGGCAGTCCGGGTGACCTTTTGGACAACTGCCATGCTCCACCCCCACAGAATGTAAGCACCACCCCAAACATCGTTTCGAAATGTACAATTCGTAGCTTATTTTCCGGAATAAACGCTGAAACAAGGAAATAAAATTGAGGTCCCATTTCATGATGTAGGCCACAGGATTTCAAGATTACGGGGCCTGCAGTGGTAGCGTCTGGCGGCCTGCCTGCAGCAAGCCAAAAACAGGGGGCTAAAGTAAACATTGTAGGTGACCTTCAGCCAAACAAATGCGTCTCATGTTGTGCGGCTCTTGCCTGCCGCAAGATCGATTCGTGGAAAAGGTAAGATTCTATGAAATGGTTGAGAGGGAAAAGAAACAAGCCTCAGCGCCCTGCCGCCTTGGATTTTCTTCTTTTGTTTCTCAACTCGGCCCGGTTTGTGACTTTTCAACCAAGAGTGTCTCAAAGAAAGCTGTTTCTTTGGCTGGGGTGAGAGTTACTATCCTTGCCCTGCATCCAGTACCGCGGAACACTCCGCACCTGCCCATGCAC